AAAGTCATGAAATTTGCATATAACTGGATCAACATGGAGAGTATCATGCTAAATGAAATGAGTCAGAAAAAGAGCGACAGACATAAAAGGACTGCACTCATTTGTGGAATACAAAGTGACATAATAGGAGGCTAACACCTAAGGACAGTTAAAATAAGGGTGAGGAGAACTGCCCTATGACTTGACAGCTGATCGCATGCACTGGGGGAAAAGGTAGCTGGGATAGATAGAGGAGCACTAAATAAATGGTAGTTGGAGGGATTGCTTGGGATAGTAGATGCCTGTTGAAAGTAGACTATGGACCAAACATGATGGCCGCTTGTTACCTGTATTGCTAACCATAACACCCAAAATGATAGAGTAAGAGGGAAAGATGGATTGTGCCTGCTACAGAGGCAGGGGCTAGGAAGGGATGGAGGTGGGGGAAGGAATACTGGGAACATTGGGGATGGAGAATGGGCACTGGTGGAAGGATGGGTACTTGAACATCGTTTGACTGAGACACAATCATGAAAGTCTGTAAGTCTAAATGTATCTCACGATGATTCATTAAAATAAAAAACCTATAAAAGGTCTTTGGATAATAAAGTATATGAAGAAGATATAGGAGTTCATGGTCTATATACAGCAGGGTAGTTGAGCTAAAGAATTCAATTTGTATAGCCAGAGTCTGGAAAAAACCTGAGCACCCGAGAACAGATGACTGGTTAAAGAAACTTTGGTACATCTACACAATGGAGTACTATGTAGCTGTTAGAAAGGATGAAGTCCTGAAATTTACATACAAGTGGTACTACATGGAAAGTATCATGCTAAGCAAAATGAGTCGGAAAGAGAGGGACAGACATAGAAAGATTGCATTCATCTGGGGAACATAAAGTAACAAAATTGGAGACTAACACCCAAGAATAGCCAAGATAAGTACCAAGAGGTTTACTCCATGGCTTGGAGGCCAGCCACACACTCTAGGGGTAAAGGCAGCTCAGATAGAGAAGGGAGCACAAAATAAAGGGTGTTGGGAAGATTCACCCAGGATGGGAGATGCATGCTGAAAGACCAAACACATTTCCACTCAGTTCCTCTTTTGTAAACCACAGCACCCAAAAGGAGAGAGAGAACAAGGGGGAGTGCCCTGCCACAGCGGCAGGGTTGGATGGGGGGATGGGGAGCGGGAAGGACACTGCGATTAGTGGTGGTGGAAAATGGGCACTGGTGGAGAGAATGGTACTCGATCATTGTTTAACTGAAACCCAAGCACAAAAATTGTAAGTCTACAACTGTACCTCATGGTGTTTCACTAATAAAAAAATTTTAAAAATAGAAGAAAAAAAAGAATTCAATTTGTAGCCTGCTTTCACTTCATTGTACTTCAGATCAGACCCTATTTTTAAAATTTAGACTAATATGACTAAAATTTTCAGTATAACCCCACCCATATGGATTGTGCTAGAAAGTATATTAACAGAAATTATGCCCATAAATTTTAGAAACCTATTATGTAGATACAAAATCAGAAGATAGTGCTAGAAAAAATGTTATAGACTTATTTAACACGAGGATATAGATTCAAAAATCCTGCTGGTGTGCATGTACTGAATCAAACAAGTCCAAAGTAGGCTTATTCTAAGGATAGAAGGATACAATAGTAGACCAAAAGAGAAAATGTACATGCTTTTATGAAATGGTGCAAATTAAGAAATAATATCAATCCTTTTAAGTTTTAAGATGTCTTATAAAACTATAAATACAAGGGAGCATCGCTTTGCAGAAGTAAAGTAAAGTAAACACAAATGCTTCTCAAAGCACTTCCTTTAAGACCAAGAACAAGGTAATACTATCACGGTCACGGTCCTCCTGTTATTCATCGATTTGTTCGAGCGGGCCCAGTAACATCTCCATCGTGAGACTTGTTGTTACTGTATTTGGCATATCGAATAAGTCACAGGTAGCTTGCCAGGCTCTGCCGTGTGGGTGAAATACTCTCGGTAGCTTGCCAGGCTCTCCGAGAGGGGAATACTATCAATATTGTAGCTATAATTGGACATAATACTAGAGCATCTTAAATCATATGAGAAATGACTTATAAAGACTAATCTGTCTTTTCATACAATTTAATTTACAAGGAAATCCAAGAGAATCATGAAATAGGGAGGAGAGAATCAAGAGCATTAGATTCTAACTTTATAGACTCTGTATTATGCCTACACAACTTCCATGTCACTGTTCTGAGCATGACCATTGTTCTGGCTACCCAGGACTGAGGGGTTTCTCCGAATGCAGGTGTTCTCACAGGATAACCCTGATGTAGTCATCCTAATTCAGAATTTCTTCCCTCCAGAACTGTCACTGTCCTCCCGTTGTTCATCAATTTGCTCAAGTGGGCCCCAGTAACGTCTCCATTTTGAGACTTGTTGTTACTCTTTTTGGCATATCGAATACGTCATAGGTAACTTGCCAGGATTTGCCATGAGGGTGAGATACTCTTGGTAGCTTGCTGGGCTCTTTGAGAGGGGCGGAGGAATCGAACCTGGGTCGGCCACATGCAAGGCAAACGCTCTACCCACTGTGCTATCTCTCCAGCCCTTCAGAACTATAAAATTTATTTTCCTTTCAAGTTATTCTATATATTAACAATTATTCATTTGGGTATTAGATTTTATCCAGCATTCATAGATACTTTAACCATAAGGTTTACCCATGTTAGCTCAATCTGTTCTTTTGTCAGAATTCTCTTTTCCCTTTAAGAATAATGCCGTACTTAATGACATGGGAAAATGTTCATGTGTAGAGCGGAAAAGTGCTGATTACAGAACTATGTAGTGTTGGGTAATATCTTTATTGTAAAAGTATATCATATATTCAGTTCTTCAAAAATTGTGATAGCTAGCAGAGCTTATGCAGATATAATTGACTTAAGAGCCTTTGGGGATATTACTTTGGATGGGAGGGAACAATATAGGATGACAAAAAGGGAAGGATGGAAGAATTGCAGAAGGAAAATGGTAAATATTGGGAGATAACAGAGTACTTCTACTGTAGTAACATATTAAACATTTATGACATATAACTTTTACTTCTTTGCATATTGGAGAAAGAAAGTGATCTAATGTTATTCCTCATAGCTCTGGCTCCAGATTGCATTGTCTTATTGAACATGTAACTAGGTCGTTGGAGAAGGTATTTTAAACAATCGCTTACTAAGGGGATTTTTTTTTTCAAAATCCTTGTTTCAAACCAGGACAAAAATAGAATAAGTTAACTAAAATATATTTGACTGTTAAATATCCTTAGAAAGGCTCGGGTGTATTTCAAGTTTTTATGGCAGTAAAACAAACCATTAACTTCAAGGCCAGACTCAAAACAGAGCTTTGGTGAGCTATTGGGTCATAAAATTATGGACATCTGTTCTTGGAATTTTTGGGTATATGTGTGCAACAGTAATAAAATTCCATATGAGGTATTTTAAAAATTAAAAGTACATTAGGTAGAGAAAAGGATATGGGTATGACTGTAAAGGAGTAGCACTAAGAAGATATTTTATTTATATTTAATAAAGTTGTGTAAGATCATTTGTTACATTCAATATTTCAGCACCAATCCCACCACCATTGCACCTTCCCACCAATGTATTTTCCAATTTCCCAGTCACCCTCAAGCCTGCCCTATTGCAGGCCCTGAATAATTTATTTTATATTGCTTGTTATAAATAATTCGCTAAAATGATAAAAGATGTTTTCTTAAAAGAAAGTGAGTGAAAATTATTGTATCTCATCATGAGCCCTTAAGCCCATGTATAAGAGATTACTAATATGATTTTACAGGTGTGTTTATATATTGTTGAACAAGATTGATCGCCTTCTACTTAGTATCCCATTCAATGTGATGTGATACTCCTGGTTTATAAGTGATGTAGAGTTTCAGATGTTGCACAGTCACATTTGCTGTAGGAATTTTAAAATTTTGAATGGAGTGATGCAGTAGGAGTTAAATTTTTAACTGGATGGTGACTTTAGTTGCCCCAGACAACTCTGCCTGGCACGATTTTGACATTTATATGAGTCTCTGGATCACGGCCATTTAATGAGCTTATTTGGGGTTGGAGGCAGTTCATATGTGTGGCTGGCAGGCTTTCAGAAGAACAGGGAGATGGGGAGAGGCAGCCCAATCCCGACTTCATGAGAACCTGGAGATTTCAGTCACAAACCCTGCGTATGAGTTTTTCAACAGATTCATTTCTGGATGAGGCTCGTCCCAAGCTGCGAGGTCCAGGTGTGAGTATGGTGGTGATTGTGGAGTGTGGAGGTTTTAGGCTGCTAGGGCTCTGTTTGGGTGGGTGCTGGGCTCACCTGCCTCGTTCCGGCGTGCCCTTGATGACTCAACCTGGCATGGGGTCTGGAACCATCTCTGCTAAGATCTTTTTTTATTATGGCTTAGTTTTGTATCTGGACTGTAGTAATGATAACAGTGAACCTAAACATGAGCTAAAATAACAAAATTATTTGGGCTTGGAAAGTAGTACAGTGTGCAAGGAGCTTTCCTTAAACAGACAAACTGGGTCCTATCTCACCACCAAATATGGTCTCCTGAGCTCTGCCAGAAATTTCCTAAGCACAATGCCAGGAGTATATCCTGAACACAGCCAAATGTGTCCCCCAAATTTAGAAAAAAGATACATAATTATATATAGGCATTGCACCAAAGATAGTTTCATGGTTTTTATACTGTTCTATAACTATTACATGTAACATAAAATTTGCAGTAAACTGAGGGAAGGATACGTGGGAATCTTTCTGTTCTATTTTGCAACTCCCCTCCAGTCTGCAATTATTTGAAAATAAATGTTTACAAAATAGGAAAGGACAAATGAAAATAGGTCATGTAGACTAGCATCTCCCAGGAAAACCAGCATAGCCTCCAAATATTGTCTACTTTGTTTTAGTCGAGCACCAAGACTGGGAAGAAAAGGTTTCTCACTGACTGACACCTGTGTGCCTTTACAGATAATGCGTTAGACAATGGAAGGCTAAATATAGCCTTATGAGCCTTGGTCATTTTCGCTTTTATGTAGGCCACAGTATCTTTTTGCAGTGAGGTGAATGACCTTCCCAAAACTACAACTTTCAATTTTCTACAACTTATTTTTTTTGTCAGTTGTGTCAAGTGATCAGTTGATTCACTAAAGGGGGAAAAGTCACCTAATAAATTAATTGAATAATTAGTCACTGAGAGTAGAAGGTATTTTTACCCTCCATTCCTCGCCTATGTTGTTCAAGAGTATCCACTCCAAGAAGTGTCTACTTATCTTACTTATGGGAGAAGCAATAGTATATTTGTATGCTATGCTGAAGCAAACAGTCCAACAGAGCAAAGACACTGACAGTATAAAAGAGAAGTATAAAATGCTTGCAGTTATGTTCATTGATACAAGGGAAAGAAGCTATCTAATACATGAATGAAAATAGATAGGAATAAAAACCATTCATATTAATAGCAAAGAAAGCAGAAAAATGTAGACAGAAAGACTGTTGCAATGGAATTTTGTGGAAGTTCTGATTTCTTCAGTTTTCTCAGTTAAGAATTAAGCAAAATCAGGGACTGGAGCGATAGCACAGCGGGTAGGGCGTTTGCCTTGCACGCGGCTGACCCAGGTTCGATTCCCAACATCCTATATGGTCCCCCGAGCACGGCCAGGAGTAATTCCTGAGTGCAGAGCCAGGAGTAACCCCTGAGCATCGCTGGGTGTGACCCAAAAGAGAAAAATAAATAAATAAATAAATTTTTTTTTGAAAAAAGAATTAAGCAAAATCATTAGCTTGCCAGCAAGAATAGCGGAGTTTGGGCAAGCTTGGAAACACATTCTGTGGACAATGCTCCAAAAACGACAGCTTTCAGACTTTACTAGTGGTAGTGTGAAATTATAATGACTTCTACAAAAAGAGGTTTAACAATATTTTAGATTGATAAGTCAATTGCAATTCTAGAAATTTATCCTGAATATGAAAAGTATGAAATATGTATTCAAATAATTTTAGTAGCAAAATGTTAAAAATATCCTGATCATTCATGAAGGGATTTCGGAAGGGAGAACGTTAGGAACGACATACCCATCCTGTGGAATTTGGTATGTCGGCAAGTGGACATGGCTATCGAAGAGATTTGAGTAGAAGTCATGGATAATCTTCTCCATTGCCGTTCTGGAGGATGTGATGGATCCATCAGGACGTCGGAGGGCAGTCATCTTGGTCTTATAGTTGGCGAAGGACAGGCGGGCGTTACGAATACTTTTCCCGGCTTCTGCCGCATCTATCAGTACTTCTGCTCTTCTCTCTTTGAGGTCTTCCTTGATCGCATCTCTGCACTGCTTTGCAAGCTCGGACGTTAGCTTGAGGTTGCCTGAGGCATGCGCCAAACCACGCTGGCGAATTAGCTCAAGAGTTTTCGAAGATAGGCGACTTTTTGTGGCTATCTCTCTCTTGGCGTTCCTCGCACATTCATGGAGGTGCTGAACCAGTCGATCGTATTCCTCATCAATGTTGTCAACAATGGCATCTTCCCATGTTGCCGCAATAGTACCAAAGAGTTCCCAGTTGGTGGTCATTCTGGGAGTTCTCTTTTTGAACTTTGCAGCCCTTTTTGAAGCAAACAGCACCCGGCCCAGACAAGGTCAGACCTGAACACCTGAAGAACCTGCCGTCAGTACTCATCAATACACTGGCTCGGCTCTTCACTCGCTACCTGTCTGAATGCAAGGTTCCATCCCAATGGAAAACCAGCAGGACCGTACTACTGTTCAAGAAGGGAGACATCCATGACATTGGCAACTATCGCCCGATCTGCCTATTGTCTGTCATCTACAAGCTGTTCACTCGAGTCATCCTGAATAGGATTGGCAGAACACTAGATGAAGGACAACCATGCGAGCAAGCAGGGTTCCGCAAAGGATTCAGCACCATCGACCATATCCACATGGTAACCAAGCTCATTGAGGTTTCTCGGGAGTTCAAGATGCCGCTCTGCTTAACGTTCATTGATTTAAAGAAGGCCTTTGATTCTGTTGAGACGGAAGCGGTCATTGAAGCCCTAGCCAATCAGGGCATTCAAGCCCAATACATCAGGATCCTCCGTGAGCTGTATTGCGGATTCACTACCAGGATCTCACCATTCTACAAAGAAGTGATCGTTGATGTCAAGAGAGGGGTGCGGCAGGGTGATACCATTTCACCGAAACTCTTCAGTGCCACCCTCGAGAACATCATGCGACGACTGGAATGGGAAGGAATGGGAGTGAAGATAGATGGTCGGCAACTACACCACCTCCGCTTTGCTGATGACATTGTTTTAATAACACCAAACATCAGCCAAGCGGCACAAATGCTGGCCGACTTTGACCGTGAGTGTGGAAAGGTAGGACTACAGCTGAATCTTACGAAGACAATGTTTATGAGAAACAGCCTTGTTCCTGACGCCCCATTCACTCTCAATGGAACGACAATCTCCGAATGCAACAGCTATGTGTACCTAGGTCGAGAGGTCAACATGAGAAATGACCTGGCACCCGAGCTGCGCAGGAGGAAGAGAGCGGCTTGGAACGCCTTCAAGAACGTCGAAGAAATAGCTAAGAGGACGAAGAACCTCCGGCTCCGGGCACATCTCTTTGATTCCACTGTTCTTCCTGCATTAACATATGCCTCAGAGACCTGGGCCCTACGCAAACAAGATGAGAACGCCATTCAGGTCTCCCAAAGAAGAATAGAAAGAGCTATGCTTGGAATAACACGTTTCACTCAAATGAGAGAACGAATCCGGAGTTCTGACATCCGTCGACGATCAAGGATCAGGGACGCTGTCTCATATGCCAAGGTGTCGAAAATCAGATGGGCTGGTCACGTAATGAGATTTAAAGACGACCGTTGGACTAGAGCTGTTACTGATTGGATTCCACGGGATGTCAAGAGACCGCGTGGCCGCCCACCTACCAGATGGTCAGACTTCTTTGTCAAGATCATGAACGATCGGTTTGAGGCCCTCCATGTTCCCGGAGCGAAGAGATGCCATTGGGCTACACTAGCACGCGACAGGGACAAATGGAGACGTTACTGGCGCCCGCTCGAGCAAATCGACGACTAACGGGAAGTTAAGTGATTAAGTGATTCATGAAGGGACTGGTTGATGGAGTACTATGCAGCTGTAGAAGGAATATCTGTACAAGCGGACATTAACACACAGGGAGAATAAACTAGAAACTAAGAGAAATGATTATATACAGGGAATAGGTAGAAATAGGGTACAAGGAAATTCAGTGATGATACAGAAAAGACATCTATATTTCTTTGTTCACTGCAGCACTCTTTATATTTTTTAAATGTCATGCAGTAGCTATTCAGGAAGCAGAGGACTCAGTCACTTTAATTCAACCAGAGACTTTGTATGCCTTTTGTTTATCTCTGGTTCAACCCTAGTTTTAGGTTGCAGCCCTCTAGGAATTCCAACTGAATTAGGGTCTTCTTGCTAGGGCTTCTCCTTATTGGCAGGTGAGACACCAATGTTCTCCCCTGAGCACTGTGAGCTTGTCATAACTTGATTTGTTCACCTGATGTTTTGTGCCTGACTTCTTACTCTCATCCTCTGTACAGTTTAAAACTCAATGTTGCTAGGAGAAAATCTGTCCCAAGTGTTGAAGTCCATCTTGTGTCCCCACTATCTCTCTAGGACCGTGGTGTCATCATACTAACAACTGCATTTTTAGTTCCCCCAGCTCCAGAGTGACCTAAAGTTGCCCTTCTTCTCTCATTCCCTGAGAAATATCCTGAGGGAAAAGCAGCATGTAAAAAGTAAGTCTCACTTTAATGAGCTCCCTTCTTTCTGCATGAAGTCTCTCAAGTTCAGGCTGATTTTATTAATATTCTGACTTCTTCACTATGGATATTTTTAAACCAGTATTTTCTAGTTTGTCTTGTTAGAAGACTGGTTTGCTGCAAGCTACTATATCATAAAGTTGGAATTAATAAGAAGTGCATACAGGTGTCTATGTGTGGGTGTATAGCTGTATTTACCCTTACCTATGATCATTGATTGCATAGATAGAGCGACACTCATTTTTGTTTGTTTTGGGGCCCGCAACCCACCAGTGCTTAGGAGCGACTCCTGGCTTGATGATTGCTTCTATCAGTGCTCAGGGAACCATGACATGCCAGGGAGCGAATCCCGTCCTCCTGCACAAAAGTCATATGCTCCAAACCATCCATCTCTCTCTCCAGGTCAAGAGAGTACTTTGCTAGTAGAAGTGAAACCACCTAGTAACGAGATACTTGCACCTACACATCAGTATCCACTAAGCTGAATGTGGGTGCGTAGCAAATGGCTGATTTCAGGGAAAGTCTAAGTTCACAGTGATCCTAGGTATCTTGTTGTACCAGAACAGAAGAAAATGATCACAGAGTTATCGGGACATGTATTGATGACACTTGAGTCAACTTGAAGGAATGCTAACTAGTTAAGAGTGGAATGATTTGGATATCAATAATGATGATAGTAATAGTCTATACTACATTGAGGTAAAAATCCATGAATCCATGTGATCCTTGAAAAAACTGGGAAGGATACATAGAGTCAACTTCTGCTTTGGCTTTTACTCTAACAGAAGCGTGTCAGCTATTAAACGTGGAAGGAACTATACGCACAGAAAACTGTTGTTTTGTAACGCCCAAATTGGTTTACATAAAGATGATTAGTTGGTGTAAATATGACTGGGTAAATGTTGTTGGAAACAAGCACTACATTAGAATAGTTTAATCAAGGGGAGAAATGTGCTTTTATACTGGAAAATCCCAGTGGTTACTACTTTAAGTAAGTAGTAACATCAATACTGGTGTTAGCTGACATTCGGTTCCTGCCGTATGACAAGTACGAGAAGTTCATGCTGACTTAAATGACTTCTGTGGCATACTTGCCGTAAATATTTAACCTGAATCTCATGATGAGAAAACAGGTGATTTTTACAATGTTGAGCATGCTGCAGGCCGATTGGTCTGGACTTTTCAG